TCTCTCTAATTTAACCCAATGAACTCTGGGATAGCTAGCTTACTAGCTTTCAAAAGCATCTTGTTGAATTTACTCCCAATCTACAGCTCTGTCAGCACTGACCTATGAAGCACCAAAAAAAGTTCACTTTCAATTACCACTTTTCATTGTGACAGCTACAGTCAGAGATACATTCAAGCACGACTGCACTGGGTGTTATGAAATGGGACAGTTTTGTACTCTTTTAACATAATTATTAGTTTTTGCTCCCAACTGAAATCACAAGTTTTGGTTTGACTGCGTTTAAAGATAAACTGACTAAATCCTGTCCACATATGTTTTTAATTTATCAGGCAAAAAGCCCAAAGTTGAATGGTAACACAGGAAATGGCACTACCATTGAAAACTCTGAAAAACATCATCACATACTTACTATTTAGATTTTTCTTTCAGTTAGCAAAAAATCATGTGTTTTAAATAGTTCTTCAGGGCTGGAATAATAAGTGAATTAATACATCAAAGGAACATCTCTAGGGGGAAAACAGGTTGATAACTAATTGGGGGTTTTATCTCAGCTCCTTTCAATGAAACCCTCGGGCGAGACACTAAACCCAAAAGCACCCCAGCGGTTAAGCTAGCATTTTGTATTGCATCCTGTTGCCACAGGCACATCCCAACATATTAAATATGTGAACACATAGGTTTATATTTTATTTTTCAAATAATGTTGAGAATAGCTGCAGATTAAGTTGATTTTTTTATTATTATTTTCCCATTTTGATACATCGATGCTAACTTTTTCATGTGCAATGGCTGGACAATTAGGCTTTGAGGTGTTTTTTTAGTTTCATGGAGTAAAATTAAGTTTTTTGTCCACTTCAGGTTTGAAAAGGCTGTTATTAGACACTGCTTTACTCTTACATAGATCATATTTTTCTGGTTCTTTTTATTATTATGTTAAATACACTGATCTGTATAATGAATTCAGATTTATTTTTATTTACCTTTTTCTGAACTTTTTTCTAGATAAGGTTCTGTACTAAAGGAGCTTCTGACTCCTGCATATTCAGTTGCAGTTCAACAGCTGTTTCACACTCTTCCTTTGTCTTTCTTATGCTCGCTGCAGCAGAGTATGACAGACTAATTTCACACTAGGCAGAAATAAAATGAAGAAATGTTCATTTTTAACAGAGCAGACAATGAGGAACACAAAGCATTCACAAAAACAGTAGCCCCCCACTTCCAGCATTATGAACAACAGTAACAGCAGCATCTGTGGAGATGTGGATAATTGTAAAGAGCTGGTGAAAAAAATAATGCCGCAAATTAGAGTGATGATCTTGGATCGTGGAGGGTTTTTTGTGCGTGTGTGTGTCCCTTTAGTCCCTTTCACATAACACTTTCAAGCCAAGCCTGAGAGATGTCTGTATTCCTCATCTGTGTCATCTGAAATCACTGAGGTGAAATGAGGGGGCTGATGCTGATCCCGATCGTTACGTCTCTGAGCCGACTACAAAGGTAGTAACAGAGCTGAGTTGGTAAGTAGGTGTGAAGTGGGGAAAAAGTGCTCAACTTTAAAGACTGATGCTGATGTCAGTCTACCAGTTACTGGGATGAATTTGTAAAAAAAAAAAAAAAAAAAAAAAAAGAGAAAGAGAGGAAAAAAAAGAAGATAAATCATTTCACCTGTGAAGATAAAAATCACGAGGTGCTTCACAAAAACATTTTTTTAATTATTAAAGAATATTTTATATATATATATATATATATATATATATATATATATATATATATATATATATATATATATATATATATATAAGTATTTTAAATAAAATAATTAATAAATAAATATGGGGAAAATGTAGAATTGATAGAAACAGCAGAATGATTAGAAATTAGCGAGGAAGAATCAACAAAGGGTCATAAAAGCCAGTACACAATTAAGCCAGTTTTACTGGTTAGAGGTAAGCATTTTTTATTTAATCAAGCAATTTTAGAATAGTAAGACATCATAAACAGTGTTACTGGACAATTAATGGTTCAAATGTTAAACTAAATTGATAATTAGAGATGCAACAAAAATACATTCTTCCAAACAGAGCATAAAAGTACCAGCTGAGTATATGTTGAGACCAACCACAGATGCATAGTACTAATAAATGCTCTTGACCAAAGACAAAGCTCGGAACAACAACAAAAAATGTTAGTTTCGCCCTTTTTTGTTTAGCAAACAGTAGATATCCCTAGAGCAGAGTCAGAAAAACAAACCTTACCAACAAAACAAAGCTGAGCAAAAAAATTAATATAAAAAACAAGAAGAAAAAAGAGCATTTGGTTCTGGATCTGAACCTGATGTCAAATAAAACATAAAACTGAGCAGAATAGCATCTCCCAATGTGAAAATGCTAAATGACTCAAATGAAAAACACACCATTTCTTTGTAAGTGGAAACCTAGAGTGGGAAATTACTTTTTGATAAACCAATAAGTACATAAATGACCTATCATAACCATTTAAAAGTGCACTTGATTAGATAACTGCTCGGCATGTATGCAGTTGCTCTTCTGCTGCCATGGATCATTGAGAAACTTTTCCACCCAGGTGATGAGAACTAAACAGTCAGGTCTGGGCGGTTTCAAAAGCCAGAATTATTATTATACCTTACAGTGTAGACGTATAAGGGTTCAAGATGCATTCATGTTTGATAACCAGTCTAAAGCTTTACAGCTAGAATATGTATTTCCATTTTGTTCCAAATTTGTACTAAATGTGTTAAAATTTTATGACACTGCAACAAAACTATCTAAAATTAAATCTTGAGACAAGCAAAATTGCATATATTTCATATTTCTAGCAATGGCATTAAACAACAGCATCAGTTTTATTTAAACACTGTGTCAGCATCGCAATCGGCAGGATTGTCTTTAAAGAGACAGTGTGTAGTTTTAACTGTTACTCTTCGGAAATATCCATCGAAATGTTGTTGAGAATGATTTAAATGATGCCCATTTGTTGAAATATGGCAACTTCGTAACATATAACTGTAAAATTGGGTCTAAAATACATGGGAGCAGGTCTAAGTCTCTAGGTGACGCCAGATTGTTTTTATCTACGCGAGTGCTTGCTTGCAGTGATTAAGGTATGTACTGCCCCCTGTCCAAGGAAATCACACATTGTCACTTTAAAAGACATAGTGAGAGCATTAATTAGCAAAATTTTCCATTGTTCCAATTTTTACATAAAGAAAATATACAGTGCAGGCCAAAAGTTTGGACACACCTTCCCATTCAATGTGTTAGGGTTAGGGTTGTATACTACATGTGGAGTGTAGGGTTGGGCGATGCAACGAATTCGACCTTCGGCAATGGGCTGACCTGTTACGATTGTTTTTACAAGATTAGTTTATTTATTCATTTATGTGTTTTCCCGTGACTTAGTTTATTAATAGCAAATATGTTATACGTTACGCACAGAGAACATCACAGAGGTAGCAATCAAGAAAAGATCTTCATCAGCGCATTTGAACATTATCTCACCCTTTCTCCACCTCTCGCTGCTGACAGTGTGCGCAAGCGGCGTGCTGAAGAGGAGCTTGGCGAGCATCTGTGACGCACTCGACATTGTATACAAGAGCGCAGTGTCGAGGGGAATGTAGAAACCCTTCCATCTTTCAGAGTCTGGTAGACTTCTGGTTATTTCATTTGGAGAAAAATTTTCTGATTTTAAAACTTTGGGTTAAGTAGCGCTCGTTCAGCACTTGCTTTAAGTATGTCAGCGGAGCACGGATTCATCCAGAACAACGTTTAAACATCCATGAGTCTGTCGGAGGCAACGTCCATAACCTCATAACCTCTTCAGCAAGTTCCCTAGAGACATTTGACTATGAACAAGCTGCAGGTGACCAGTTCAGGTTTACGCAGAGCAGGAGAAATATGCGTTCGGGCCGCAGCAGGTGAAATGTTCCTAATTTTAGTGAAATTGTTTAATTGCATTATTTAAATGTTACTGGGGCACTCTGTTCAGCTTGTTTGAACTAAATATTAATTGAAAATGTATGGAAATTTAACAGTATTGAATGATTATCATTTTAAAAATGAAAGTGACAGGATAAATGGATCATGCGACCGCTGGTGGCATGCAAATGCTCCCTTCTAAGAGAGCATCCAAACGCAACAGTGATTCATTTAATTTCCTACTCAAACTCATAAAGGAAAGAAACCCAGTAGCCTAACATTTTGTTTAAATAAAATACCACAATGGTGGTCACTTCAGGGAAACAAAGAGGCTAATTTTTAACACTTTAATCGTGTTTTAATACCATTTATACGTCACTAACAAAAAGTGGCGTCAACAAATGCAGAATTAAACATTAAGAAACATTTCTCTTCCAGCAAACACATGTGCTGCACTTACATAAAAAATAAAAAAATCTGTGTTTGAACTTTTTCTTCGTTCGCAAATCAGTCCGTGTATCATGATGCCATGAATATATCGCTCATAGTCATGTATGGTTTATTGGACTGACGATTGGCGATGGGAAAAATTAAACTAATCGCCAAACCCTAGTAAAGTGTGAATTACTGACAAATATACAGAAGCTACAGTGAAACTGCTCTAGCATAAGCATCCATTTCATATGCAAATTGTATATTACTGTTTACCTTAAATTAAATGCAGGTGTTTCAGCTGGAGTGAATAAAAAAAAAGATCATGAGCTTGGGTGTACTTAGCAACCCTGGTAGATAAATCAAAAACCGCCTTAAACCAGAAACCAATCTCAGCACAGGTATTGAATTTTGACACACTTAATTGCAACAGCAAGTACTGACTGGGAGGTTTACATTAATGAAGTTTTACACTTCTCTGCCATCCTCTGAACTGCTGAGGTGAACTGTTGTTTTTGCCCCACAATAATTGTGGGATTTCTTTCCATAAAAGTAGAGTATAAACTACATGCTGAGGAGGGTAAAACACATGAAACTAAAACACTCAGCCACATTCAAAGATAAACTTCTTACCTTGGGATCACTTTCTAGACGGACTTGTGTCCCTCTGTGTTCTGACAGAGATCTTTTTACCACTGTGCGATGCCGGAAGTGATAATAATCACCAAATACCTGCAAAGACAAAGAGATATCATCGGTTATCACATCATGCCACATGAACTAATCTTGCTATGTCCTCATAATACTCTCTTGCATATAGTATTATTGTAAGCATTGCATTGTGCCACTAAAGCATATATTTTTCAACATTAGAATGGCTGAAAGCAGACTAGCAAAAGGCTACAAAGAAAAGCAATTTACTTGATATAAAAATCTATACATACATCTGACCTCAACATATCAGACTCAAATTAAATATATTTTTATACACCTAATCTAAACTAGTAACAATATCTTAAACTTAAACCAAGAATTCTCTAAAGAAAACATATTTTCCTTTGCTCTTTGTGCTATCTGGTTGAAATTGGACTGCCAGTCACCATTAAAATTATATAAGTTCACACGGTTTATTTACATAAAGGTATTTATATATCGGTTTTGAAGAGCTCAGCTCTTTCCACAACAATCCTATCACCTCACGGTGTCACTACAGTGTGCACTGCAACATTACTTGAGTCTAAAAGAGGAACAGCTCAGTCCCCATCAACCTCCTTTGCTCCCATTTAATCACAGTAAACAGGCCAATTCTAGCCAGGTTGACACAATAAGTCCCTGCACACAAAGCCAGAGGGCAATAGGAAGTAATAACCAGGATGGAGGACACATTTTACAGTGATTTTTAACTTCGAGACGAACCCAAAAAAATCACAAGGCTGAATGTGTGTGTTTTTGTTATTTATTATTTTCATTATGTTTAATTTTCAGCAAATAAATCAGGTCTATTGTGTTTGCTCAGATAAGAGCCTGTTGGACTGGACTCTGATTAAAGAAATGAGTGGGAGAACAGTGAAAACCAATCCCTAAAATAAATATATTGCTGGTCAGTTTATCAACCAGATATTTTTAAACCACTCATCACCAAGAATTATAAGAATCTTGAAACGTTGAGGGACTTCAAACACCTTAGAAATCTAAATGAAAATAGTTAGAATTTAAATGTAAATGTTTTTGTGTGATGAGAGCAGTTTTTGCGTCATTTAACAGGAATGGGAGCTTAGTGGTACTTCGAATGATGTGAGCTCCTCCTTGGACTGCGCTCTTTCCGGACAGAGATCTCCAAGGCTGTTCCAGTAACCACTGGCATCACTGAAGCCATGACTCCTCACAACTTTTCCATTTCCCTTTCTAGCCCATGCTATTCCTCAGGCTTCACTTGCACCCATTTCTTGATGTTACTGTAAATAGGAATCATTACATGAATCACCACTGCTCTGTTCTACAGATTTCAACAACTACAATATTCTAGTGGGTAGTCATCATCTCATCTGTTTGTCAGTCTGGATCTGAAAGTCCCAAAGCTTCTTATCTATGTCATTCTCCACCGCTCCTACTTTGACTGTAAAACCTCCAGTCCATACACAGCTGTTGCTGTAAACTATCCAAGACCCTAGACCACAGTGTTCTGTGTGTGTATACTTTGCCTTTTTGTATGATGCATCCTGTTAAGTGCTGGACTGTCTAAAGGGCATCTTTGCAAAATCTGCATCATGGGTTCTGCCTGCTGTGGTAGACCATTGCCTACAAATTGCCTTTGTGTAGCCATGATCAGTGGCTCTGTAGTGCCCATTGGTCCAATGACGGTTCCCCCAGTGCCTACAAAAGTGATTCCTCAATACAAAAAACTTAAAAAGTTGGATTTGTGGTGTGCTGGTTCGTCAATGTTTGCCGTTTGTTCAGTTTTGCACATTTGACATTTCAAACTTTGACTTTAAAGTAATTTTTGTCTAAAATTTAGGCTTGCTAAGTTTGCAAAGCTTTGTTAATTTGTAAATATGTGCACTGAACACATACTGGTCATCAACAAGGCTCTGCATCCAAATCAAAGTCAAAGTCCCATCAGTTGTCACACATACTGGTGTGTGTGCGAAATTTGTTCTCCGCATTTGACCCATCCCCTGGGGAAGCGGTGAGCGGCAGACACAGCCGTGCTCGGGAACCATTTGGTGGTTTAATAATGTTTCTGATTCAACAAATCAGACTAGCAAGAAACAGTTTAAAAAGATTTTATCTGAAAAAAAATTTTGTTTTATCTATCCACCCTCAACAGCTTTGTCAGACCAAAGATTAAAACTGCACACTCAATTTCCTTCATTTGCTATGGTCTTCATGTAATAACATTCATGGTGCGTATGAACAGTCTAAGGCATCAGGTATTGTGAAACAAATAAAACATGCCAAATAGTGGCCCTGGGAGACAAAGCTTGGACAGCTCTGATATAAAATAAAGACAGCCATTTTGTTGGTTTAAGCAAACTGTTCATAGATCTGTTCTATAAAACACACACACACACACACACACACACACACACACACACACACACACACAGTGCAAAGGTCAACTTCCCTTAAAAATTGCCCAACTGTTACAAACATATGCAGACCCACACCAATCTCCCCTCTCAACAAAATGAAGCCCATTCAGCGGCGTCTAAATGTGTGCCCTGCAGCTCAATCATCATCTGGCAATCAGCAGCAACACTTGGGACCTTATGTTTTCAACAATTCGATGTGAAGACCATGTTGTTTCTGTGGGGTTTAACTGTTTTCCACTGGGGGAAAAAAGAGCCATTAAGGACAAACTCATTTAGTTGGAAACTGATGTGGAAACAAATCGAGTCTTGTGACCATTACTGATGCGATAAGCTGAGAATTGGAAAAGCGTAACATGAAGACAGTTACCCAAGCAACGGATTAATCCATCAACATTAAAATGCAAGATAACGCACTGTGGAAAATTACTTTCACTCGTTTGTTTTCATGTTTGATCTATTCTCTACCAGGCAAATGTACCTTGTGCAAAAGCACTTATCAAAAGGTCCAATGTCCCATCTCCACAAAGCGTCGACACGGTTGTCTTGCAAAGAGACGAACAAGGCGTGAAGTCAAGCTGTAAAAGAGTTGGCACTTCCAGAAAGCTAATGTCTATAAGGAACCATGAATTTAGAAGAAATTTAGGAAATTTCTTAAAGGAAAGCAATCATTACATTTCACAAACATGATAGATTTCGGCGTGTGTATTGACAATATGAAGTATGAACACATTTTGTTTACCCAAAGAATGGGACTTACAGACACAAGAGTAATAGTCTCCTAAAATAGTTCAGCACCTTGTTTATATCGTGAGCCTCAGTAGCAATTACTGTAGTGGACAGGAGCACAGATCTCCACAGTAGCAGCTGGACATTAAGATAAGTATCCGTCAAAATACGGAACCAGGGCTTATGCTAAAACACCAACATACACACATCAGAAATGCCATTCTCTCTTAATACTTGCCAACTCATTTTTCATTATCCTTCATTGGTTTCCTTTTATCTATGTATCCTACATCACTTGATTTGTCGATCTGTATCCATTACCCTTTAATTTTTTTGGTATTTAGATTATGCCCACACTTCAAGACATTCTAAACTAATTCCAGACTTTGTGTCTTCAACTAGGTTTTTAACAGTTTTGATTTAGGCATGCACAACTTCAATCCTGCAAATCCATAGACTAAACCCTGCCTAGTATGACCAAAACAGATAAAACCAACAGAAATAAACTACTTGAGTTATGACGCCTTATAAGGCAAACCTGAGGTTCATTATTTATCAACGACGTGTTATTAGTTCTCAAAAAGCTACCGCCCCATTTCCCCACTGTGTTTGTAGAGCAAATACATATCCTTATTCTTGGCACAACCTGCTGTTGTCCTGAAGATGTTCCATTAGTTCAATCTGTAGAGTTTACAAAAAGAGTTGATAAAACACGGTGGCGAAATAGGGAACATTTTATTGAGGAGGACTGGCATGGAAAAACACAATAACCTCAAAATCCACAGGGTTTCCCAAGTAAAACATAGTGTGCTTTCAGTTTTCTGTCACTGACTGAGGATTACGATGCAAAAATGTCCCGGGGTCCCTCCTGAGAATATGACCCTGGGATGAGTTTGGAAATGGAAGTCCAGCAGCCTTTTCATCTCAAGAACTCTGAGATGTGTCAAACTCCCACAGGATCTCCTGAAAAACTTTTAATGCTCCAGTTGAGTGCCTCTTGGTGCAATGTTGCAGACTATGGTACTGGAGCTGCATCACAGAGAAGGGAAGACCCCCAAGCATGTGGTGAAGATGACTCATTCTAGTAGTATCCTTAAACCCACAATAATCTACAAAAACTCCTCACACCCTGTTCACTACCACCCTTCCATGGATACTTTATGGTCAAGACAGTGGGCAACATTTTTTTTTATGAGAGAACTCAGCGGGGTGGCGCGTTGTGCCAAGAATTCTTAACAGAAGTTTGTTGTACGAGAGCCATTGGAGTAATCTTTATTCTTAGGGTTAGTTAAGCAGATAATCAGGAGATATCCTGGATATGTCAAACTAATTGTGTATTACAATTTAGCTTCAGGTCACCAAAATTTCAACCTTGTAACTAAGTGGTGGTGCAGAGAAAACAGCGGATAGGTGCTCAGAGGTCAGAAAGAAAATAAGCTATATCTGTTGAGAACCAGGCTTTTTATGTATTAATGATGTGATTTAAGGAACTTATAAGCAATTATGATACGGGTTAATGTTGGCATAGTGGCGTGTGATGCAATACTGGGAAAACTCATGAACTTTGAAGTATGCAGCAAACATTAGAAATGGACTTTGGTTAAAGTAGCTGCAGTGACATAATCGAATAAGGTACTGATTCTAGAAATTTTCAGTAGTTTGTAATGCGATAATAAAGTATATGAAAGGAAGCTTGTATAAAATAAGTGGATATCGATAAACACGTTTGTATGATCTGTCCTTATTGTGTCTCCAAATTAGAAAATGATGCTTACTGTAGCGCACCTCCATTTTATGGTGAGATGAGCATAAAAATTAATATGACAGAGCTGCCACAGAGTTCCTACATGGAGTCAATGAGAAATGTGTTCAGATTGCTAACTCATCAGTGTGTCTTTATGGCACAAGTGGGAT